CCAAAGACTAGGTTTAAAGATATTTTGAAAGCCGTTAGCACTGTGAAATCCTACCTCTTTGCAAGTGGGTTGTGTGAGTGAGACATTTGCTCATTCTGCAGAAACATCCCACAGGAGCAGAGAGGTAAAGAGCCAAGCTCTGCACTCAGGATCCCTCTGAGCTCCCTCTCCTGAGGCTCTGTGTGGGGGTTTCCATTGACATCTGTCTTGTGAACGTGGTTCTGGGAGGGGCTCTCAAGGTTGTCAAGCCTGTTCCAGATAGTGCCACCACAGGGATTCCTGGTGAAGGTTCTCACACTGTGTCCCTTAGAGGAGGCTCAGCATGGCTCAGATGTCCGGCTGTACCAGTCCAGCCACCCTGCTCTAGCCAAGGGCAGATTGGCCCGCAGTGGGTGATGACTGTATCTGATTAGGGTCTGTATAGATCTGCTGGAGCCAAAATAAAACCAGAAACCAGTGCAAAATCCTGGTCAGGAGGTACACTGAAGTCCTTGCTGGGCAGGCAGCAGGTTGATCTGTTCCCAGTATTTTAGAGCAATATAATGTAGTCAAATACCTTACTTGTTGTGTCTCTTCTATTATACAAGCTTTTTCAAGACACAGCAGTCCCTGGACATGAAACTGGACTATTAGTTTCTGTTCACACTCCTTTAGCATTTAAATTCAGCTGTTCTTGAACTACTTATGGAAGATTGAGGACTTCTAACTGAAAGTTTGCTTTCTACTTATTTGTGTACATGGAATTTCTTCTTTAAAAAAAACCCCAAAAACTTGCAAACTTCAACTTGAAATCAGAACTAGAAATAGATTTTGTTATACACCAGGGAAAGTTCCCACAAGCCACCTTTTGATATGCATGGTTTGAAAACTTATTTGCCTACTCTTTCCTCATGTGGTAGGCTTTGACTCCTTGCAGATCTGGAAGGACTGGGTCACATAGATTTCTATAGCCATTACTGATGCAGCACCAAGATTTTAGGGCCATTGTAGTTAATTTACCAAATATGCAAGGTATTATGTTCAGTATATTTTTTGTAGTAAAATAAAGTGAGCTGACTTTGTATATTTATTTGGCCAGAGTTGTGTTTGTTTTCACTAACTTTTTTTAAGAGGAAATGTAGTTTTGAGTAAGGCATTATGTTTTTTTAGAGTAATGATCTATTTTTTACAGCAGGTTAGAGTAGGGACAGATGTAAAGAGCTGTGTCAAAATTTCTGAATTTAATAGCACTCGGGTTCCTTTGGCATGAGAATAAGGATGCCTGGCTCTGAATCACAGCTGGAAAAAAGTTCTAAAATCCTAAATTCCCCAAGGTGAGCACTACAGAAAAGAAGGCAGCAGGGAGGCAGAAGCAACATACTAGAGAGAGGAGAGAGGCTGTAATGTCGGCCCCAGTGTTTGCTGCAGGCTACAGTGGTGAGGCTGCTGAAGGCTGGGACATTTGTTTGATTTTGTTTGTAAGTTTTTAATCTAATCCTGTAGAGTAAGACCAAGAATTGAAAAGATGTACAAAGATCTAAAAGCTGGCATCACTTGCTGCAGAATGTGTCCTAAGCCAATTAGGTATGGGCTTCCCATAGGGTGTTGCTAAGTATGACTAGGTTTCTGATAAGATTTTAGTTTAGTAGGGCTGGATTGATCTTTATTTGATTTCTGTTTCATTATTTAGACAATTCTCCACTTTTTCTTTCAATACTCTCCAGGATCTGTAGTCTCAAGCTGATGGGGTTGATCATATCATGTTACTTTGGGAAGTAGCTATGAAAGATTATTGCCCTTCTCATGAACATCAAAGGTAACAGTAATGAAAAGTCGCTCAAACAAGTGTTAGAAAGGTACACAAAAAAAAGAAAGCCTTAGACAATTTTGGTGACTGCAAGGTACCGAACCTTCTGTATGAATTTTGACTTGGTGGACACTCAGCATGTGTGTCTTTCTTCTTTCCATGAATCATGGACAATAAGAAAATACAAGACTTCCCACCCTACAAACAAATGCCAGTGTTTGGGAGTTGTTCCTTTGCTTTTTTCAGGAGCCAAACAAGGCTTTCTCAAAATGCTGTCTGCAGCAGCAAAGGCACCAGAGTCATTCATCTGGAGACTAAGGGGTACAGCATTGTTTTCTTTTATAGCAGACAATTTTCTGTGTCATTTTTGAAGTTGGACAATTAAAAATTATTGTACTGCTGTTTCAGAATTTGTGAATAGAGGTTTTAATTACATTCTGACATAAGGAATGAAAAATAACACAGTAGTGACACACAGGAAGCAAGTTCTGGCAAGATGGGGTGCTCTGTAGGATGTCTTGTGGTCTCATTCACATGAGGTAGCTGTTTGATTCACAGATTCTATTTAAACAGCAGATATTTTTTGAATACACAGTGAGTTTGTCACCTAGCTGCAAAATTAATGTAAAGCTCTGGGTGAGGTCATTTATTATACTTTTTAGTTTTTAAGGCTATGAAAAAGAAGCTTGTGGAATAATGTATGTGTTAAGTCTAGTCCACTTATTTTAGAAAGTGTTATATTCTTCTAAATGCATACAGTTTTCTTAAATTCTCACATGGTTCACTTTTTTCCAGAAGTATGCACAATATTTTCTCTAAAACCAGCAGCATCTATCACACAAATATCACACATCTTTCATACACATATTAACATTTGTTATTTCAGTTCTTATGGTTACTCTGAGGACTTGTCTTTTAGATACTATTTTACCTACCTGTGTAATGGCAGTAGATAAAGGATTTACTGTACCTTCCATAGGCAGTAATTTATCAAACTTTTTTCTCTGCTAATGTACTGATACACAAAAAATGCTTTGAGCAGATGTTGAAGACTATTAGTGTTGTATAGCTAAAAGGTCAGCTTTGAAATAACAATTATTTTGAGGAATTAAAAGGTTAAAAAAATTTATGAAATTTAGGTTTAAGGTACATCCTACAGAGAATAACTTAAAAATTCTTTCTTTACTGGATGCTGTTCACAGATGACATCTACAGAAACTTCAAACAGAAATGTGCTTTCTATACTTTAGTGCTCATGTCTGATATGCTGAAAATCTAAATAAGATCTACAGTATTTCCTGTGTGTGCTACAATGCTGTGGGGTGGTGGAAGTTGATCCTGCACTGGGATGTAGAAGAGGGAAGTGAATGTAAGAGGTGAAAGAGAGAAGGAGAGGTAAAGGTTTTTCTAATGGGAAGAGTTCATCCAAAGCCATTGCCTGTCTCTGATGCCTATTTAATGTAGATCTCATCAAATTTGCAGATGACATCAAACTGGGGGAGCAGCTGACATGCTTGAAGGCAGGGGTGCTCTTCAGAGGGCCCCAGACAGGAACATTATGGAATCCAGCGAGGACAAATACCAGTTCTTGCCCTGGGAAGGAGCAATGCTGGCAGATCTGCAGAGTGAGACCTGATAAGTTTGGGAGCAACTCTGCTGAAAAAGAGCTGTGGGTCCTGGTGGGCAGCAACATAAACACATGCCAGTCTTGTACCCTGGCATCAACACAGTGAACAGCATCCTGGGCTGCATTAATACCCTGCAGATTGAGAGAAGTGATAATCCTCCTTTAGCTGGCACTCATAAGTCACATCCAGAAGACAGCATCCCATTTGGTGGATGGGATGAGAATTTTGCATAAAGGGAAGATACTGATGAGCTGAAGCAAGTTCTGTGCCTGTGGAAGCTGGAGCACATGCTCCCTAAGGAGATGCTAAGGGAGGAGTGGGCTTGTTCAGACTGAAAACAGGGTTTTGAGGGGACCTACTGCTACATAAAAGATTGTTATCCAGGAGATAGAGACATACCCTTCACAGTGATGCCTGGTGGGCAGGACAGGAGAGAGCAGATGGGACTTGAGAGGACTTGAGAGGAAAGTTCCAGGCAAGGTATAAGGAAAATTTCTGTCATTATGAAGTCAGTCAAGCAGTGTGCTTCTGCAGCTTCTGTCCTTTGAGATTTTCAAGACCCAGCTGGTCAAACAGCCTTGAACTGGTCTGACCTCAGAGGTGACCCTGCTTTGAACTGAATTGGAGTAGGGACCTTCTGAGTTCTCTCTCAGCTTGAGTGGTTCTGTGGCTCTAGGATAAAGCTTGGAGCCAAAACTTCTTTCTTGCTTATTTTTTGGGATATGGTTATAAGCAAATGGTTCAGCCTCTGTAGCTGTCAGTTGTCAGTTGTAAGTGGAGGTAATGCTGTTTGTTTGCCTCAATGCTGTTTCAAGAGAGGATAAATGGAAGGTGATGATATTCTGGATGCATTGTCAAAGCGGGTATAGATGCAGTTAGGCTTTTACAGTGCCTAAGAAGCTGATAGAGAGGGTACTGTGTATCTCTAGCAGTAATTGTGAAGCTGTTTTCTGTGGACTTATTTTTGTGAAACCCCACCATATATATATTTTCAATATATATTGTCAATCACCTTAAAAGGTAGTGAGCAGCTTAATGTGTCAGTGTTAGCAACAGCTCTGACAGCAGTCTCGCTATATGCTTCTGCCAATTATGGTCACATTTGTCATATTTTCCTAGTTAATATTTTTTTTCCTGCTATGGTGACTGTTTCTGTGGGCTTCTCATCAGAGGTGAAGCAGACTTAGCTGCCTTTGCATCAGGAGCACTGTACTGGTTCTGTCCTGTGTATCAAATGTACAGCTCACTGCTTGATAAACTGAGAAGTCTGTTTTTTCCCCCCTCACACCTTTCAGCTTAGGTGATCTTTTCTAAGAGATTTTTAAAGCTGTCCTATGATTTTTGCACATAAATAAGGAGTTATTTTAAAAAGAAGAACAATAGCACCCATTGGAAAAGGTTACTGAAAATTGTTTTGTTTTTGTGGCATTTCAACTTCATAAGAGTCTTTGAGGTAACATTAGAGCCGGCAGAGGCGTGTACATAGATGTTTTAAGAAATCTTAGGAGCTTGAGAAGATTCTGTAATACCTTTGTTTTTAACTGTTTCTTTTTTTTTTCTTTTCCCTCTCTACCTGTCCTCTACAGGAAATAAAGAAAGACATGAAGAAAGAAAATACTGCCAACAAACCACCAGAGAAGCCTATAAATGAAGTTTCCAATGGAAGCCCTTTACTGTTGTCTGAGACAATTATTAGAACCAACAGAAAAGGTACAGTATATGGACATTAAATGCAGATTAAATTCAGGCTTTCCAAAGAGCAAAATGCCAACTTTTCTTGTTTCTAGAAATATAGCTAGAGTCTATTTAACTGAAAAGGGATAGCAAGAATAATAACAGTAACAAAAATCTTTGTCCTCTTGAATTAGCATATATGGATGCACATATAATATTTCCACATTAATTTGCACAGACATCCCTTTCTTTTTAAGGAAATCCCTTCCCCATACATTTAATTAAGGAAAGCTATATGAGGAGATTGCTAAAGCTTATTTTAATAAGGAACTGGCAGCTTGCATTTTTGGAGGTTTTTTCTCAGGGATGTCGCTCTAGATTCACATATTCATGCTTTATCTGGGACAGAGAGCTCTAAAAGAAGGGGGGGAAAGGTGGAAACCATACTAGTTAATGCATTAGTTTCTTGGGAAGTGTTTTTCACTGTCTTTCATTTGAGACTGGAATATGTGCTCTTCATGTCTGGCTTGACTCCCAATGCAGATTCCTATGTAGGGTTTTGGGTTGCTAAAATGAAAGCCTCCAAATCTTCTCTCTCATTCCCTAGCTCCTAGCCCTGCTGTCAGAAATATCAGAACAAAACAAAAAAATTGCAATATAAACGCAGGATTTTTCTTTAGGTTATGTTTATGCTTCTGTTTGTTTGTAGGAGGACAATTGGGTCTGTGCAGGAGATGAGCAATAATTTTTTTCTGCAGAATTCGCGGGACAGTTTCCTGCTTGCTGTCTTATACAGAATAATCTGCTGTCATTAATCATTGCCGTAATGTAATTTCCATTTTGGCATGTCTTCTATACTGTTAGGACTGTTATGGACATTTCCTCTTATGCATGATCAGCTAACATTTTATCTGAGCTGCAGTTTCAGTACAGATCTTATACTCAAGGTTTACAACAGCAAGTGAAGAAGAATTAATTTTTGAAAAATGTATGACTTCCTTTAAAATGTGAAGCGGACTAATCTCTACCTCTTTTGCAAAGATTGATATCCTCTGAAAGAAAAGACTGGAAGTAAATCTCAGAAAACTTTGTCTTTTGAGCTTGCAATGTCGTCTTGAATCTGGAGACATGTCCAACATTTCTGCTTTGGGTCATAGGTTTTTCAAGCAACAGCAGAATTCAATTACTCAGAATTATTATTTTTCATGGCTGCTATACAGAGCCATATGAGTAGTTGGGAAATTATCTAGGGACCAAGTTTGTTCCATATTGCTTCAGCTGCTATTTGGAGAAGGCTAATAGCTGTGGCAGATGCAGAGATTTGGTTCAGTCACAAGGGGATAGTACTCCAAATATGATTCTTACAGCACTTTCTCCTCCTCTTTCTTCCTTCTGGCTAGAAGCTTTGAAGGAATCAGGAGAGAAAGATTTTTCTGTCTCTTTCTGAAGTATACAAAACCTCCTACTTACTGAAAGGAGAAAAGCAAAGTCTGACATGAAGGTCTGTAAATTGAGGTAGGGTTTGGTTTAGAAGTGGCAGATTTTGTATTAGGATGTTATTTCACTGGATTTCGTTGGTGGGGATTGCACTTCTCATGGCCACCTGTACACCATGTCAGGCTTGGTGCACTGTTCATGCTGACTGCTTCTCCACAGCCATTTCCATTGCTGCAGAAAAAACAGGTCTAGGAGGCCATGATCTGGCAGCACTGCCAAGGATGCACTGAGGACAACAAGGACAAGAGAACTTCCCTTTGTTTTTCCTGGGATCAGTTTGAGCATTGTGCCACAGTAGGTTTGTTTAAGTGTGAGCAGCTGAGCAAATAGGTACTGCTGTGTACAGAAAGATTTTTCTAAGATCTTTGTTGCCAATCTCCTTGTGGAAAGTGTTGCCATATCATATTGAAGAGGTAGCCCTAAATGCCATGGGTGTTATTTTCTTCAAGTGTTCTTGTCCTGGGACTTCTATTAAATCCTCACTCAATCTGTTTCCTGATCACAGAATGTGACCAGAAGGACATGAAGGAGGGTATAGGGTGTTTGTGTTTGGTTCATTGGTTGGTTTGTTTCCTTTTTTCCTCTTTGTTATTAGGAAGTGAGGAGGACAGGGATGCATCCTAAAGGTCTTTAGCCACTGTTCAGCAGTGAAAATGATAGGCAGTACTGTTTCTTTGCTTGTAATACTGCTGCTTGCAACTTCAGAGAAGATCCAGTGATGTGGGAGGGAAGGATTCTGTGCTGTTCCATTGTTTTTATTACCAAAATGATGATAAGTGCTATTCTACTGCTGTGGTATTATATTGTGTAGTTTTACTACTTAACTTGGTTGGCCTAATTTAAGTGTCAGCACTTTAGCAAGCTTTTACGTTTTGAGGAGAAGAATCTTGGCCTCTTGGCCTTGGCTTGTGGAGAGTTTTTCCTTGAGAAATATTGACAAGTGTCCAACAGTGGTATTCAAGTAAAATAGCTAAGTTATTTTTAAGAAGCATCTAAGTAACTAAGAGGAAAAGAATGAATTTCTGAACTAAAAAGGTATTTAGGATCCAACTTTATATCCTGGTTTTTTTTGTGCTAATTATTTCTAACTACTGTGTTGAAATTAGGGGTTCTAATAATAAAATCAGTGTAATTTGAAGTAAGTGGCTGCATAATACTAATTTTCTGACTGGGGTTAAACCACAACAGTAATGGGTGTTACTGCTTTGGATTACATGTGTAGTGTAGGAACAAATAAAATGTGTAACCCCACCAGCAATAGCCTACCTGGGTTATTATTTCCATTACATAGAGAGGGTTACAACTGATTGTATGTCACCATTTGTGAATCACTTAGGTTTTTGTTACAAAGGCCAAGAGGAGATGGAAGGATTTGAATTTTCTGCTTTTCACTGTGGGCAGTAAAACCAGGATATGTCTCATCCTTTAATGATTCTTGTTGACCACAAATATTAGTGACCTAAGGGAAACAAACAATAGTGATCACTGCTGTGGTGGACATAATTTAAAAAATGCTATTACACCTGGCCTTGATGTATTTGTGTAGCTATTTCCTCTCTGCATGGTTGTAAGTACAATCTAGAAGTCAGGGCTACACCTAAGAAATAATGGGGTTATTTTCTAGATCTGCCACGCAGTTGCCATGGGACTTTTGCTAAATCACTTAAACTGTTGGCCAAATTGCCACACTTATCTTCCTAGGTCAGGTATTTTAATATGTATTGATTTTTCAGATAGGCAGGGCTTTATTTTTTCTGATTTATTGCAGTGACATACCCAGATTTGTGAGTAACTTCCATGTATTTCAGGTGTCTCTGCCTTAGGCTGCCTATTGGCAAAACCTGGTTTATACCTGTCTCATTAAGAGCAGTTCCAGCATGGCAGTGGTGGCAGCTGACATCCAGGAAAATGAACATTTTAACTGAGCACTGCCATGGGGTCATGCCTCACCCCTAAAAGGCTCAGGAAGGGGCCATTTGCTGCGGTGTAGGGATGGGGTTGGGGATCACGATGGCCTTGTGCTTTCCCTGGCTGTTCCCAGGGCTGCAGCAGCTCTAGGCTGGTTTGATGGGTGCTTCAGCTGCTGCAGCTTCAGCCCTGCCTAGGGGAAAAGGCTGTGGCACTGAGGGACCTGTCTGAAGCTGTAGGCATGTCAGATGTTGGTTGGCTTGCATATCCATTGCCAGAAACTGGGAGGGATCATTCTTTTGCTTCTTCCTATAGCTCATGAGCCAAGAAAATCCTTTCCTCACCACGAGTGGGTCTTTGAGTATAACTTTTCTCTGCTTCAGATTTTTTTTGTTGGCATATAGAACTATTGTTCTAAAACTTTAATAAAGCTGACATTTTAAAAAAAAAAAAAAGCTTAAAATAGCTTTTTTCTATTTAGAATTGGTATTGTTTCACTTTGGTAATAGCAGGGTCGGAAAGCCTTTTCTTCCCCAAGAACATTTTCAGATTGTTTGAAAAAAGCAAAATTATTGCTGTTGTTGCAATTATTTAATAACATAAGAAAATTACAACCAGGTCTTGGAACAGAAAAGATATCTGAACTGAAAGATATATATTTTTTTCCTTAAATGCTTTTCCAACATGGTGAAATTCCATCTCTTCTAAGTTAACTTTTAAAATCTGAAAGCAGATCCAAAGTTGTGCAACAGTGTCAAATCTGTCATAAATTTAGTACAATCTTCATTCAGGTATAAAGAGATATGATGGAAACTTGCCTTCAATAATCTTTAAGTGTTAAATGTCCACAGCTTATTTTAGAGTAGTTTTGTTCTGATTTTTGAGTATCCTGTTTCTAAGTACCTTATTCATTGCGCTGTTTAGTGTGTCTGGGAACAAGAGCCCACTTGCTTAGGTCAAGTTGCAAAACTGGAACTGATAGACTCTATTTTGTAAGTGAACTAATAACAATTGTTATATGAGTAAACATATTTGAGGCAAAGATATATTGCCTTGTCAGATATATTTGTTTTCTATAAACTGTAATTGCAGGCTGCGTTGAGCCAGCAAATCTGGAACAGTTTATCACGTGTTACATGTTCTTAATCAAAGCCAAATACCGAAAGCAAGGAAAGTTTTTTCTAGTTCTTTTGAGAATTATTTAATTTACCTTCCAGCCTACATTTAAATAATAGAGAGCATTTGCATGCAATGCTAAAAGGGAAGTTTTGTGTAAATAGGTTTGATGATATAATAGGTTTAATTTAGGAATAAATAACAAGTCTGTTGCATGCAAAATGGAGATTTAAGTCAGATTTTGTAAATTAGAAAAATTGGAAAAGTATTTTGCAGGAAAAATGCTTCTTCATTTTGTTAGATAGTTTTTTTATTATTTAGATATAAAAAAGGCACCCCATTTATTAGTAACACAAGCTGTTGGCTTCTCAGCATATGAGTGTGTTGACTCTGAATCTTATATTAAATAATCTATGTAAACTATGATTCTGGTCATATTTTTCAACAGAAAGGCAAACTTCAAAATCTTTCTCATAAAATATTTTATTACCAGGAAGTGCAAGAGACTGCCTTCATCGTGCTTGATGAGGTGTCTGACCCTCAGTGTGGCCAGCTTTGGTTTTCCTTTCAAACACAGTGAGTTTGAAGGCATTGATCTTCCTTTTGTTGGATTATTCCTCTGCTGTTTACACATTCAGGCCTTCTCCACAGACAGGCTTTGGTGTTCCCTTGCAAATACTGCCAGCTTCAGAGAAATTATTGCTAGCAGGGAAAAAAAATCCCTTTCATTTTTAAGATCAGCTAATTGGTGTATAATCAGTATACAGTTTACACAAATATGCACAAGAACATACTGCTCAGCCTATTAAGGTTAAAATATGCATGGAACATATGACACCAACCCAAAATGAGACATAAAAAATTAATGGCACAGGCAACTTGAATGTGCAAAATATTTAGTCTTTGAGTTTAAATACCATATCTGCATATGCATATGTAGTGTCTCACATAATACACATTTCCTTTAAAAGCATTGCTCTTTGAAAATAAGGGTGAAAATTATCCCAGTATTTAGGTAAGCTACACTGACCTGGGAGTCAATACTTTCAGTTCAGAGGGGCAGAAAAAGACACCAACCAGTCTGTGCTGGACATGTGGTTGTGTCATTGACATGATTTTTTATTTGACTGGAAGAAACATCTCAGTGCTGTCTTCTTGGCAAGAGTGGAATTGTTGCTCACTCATTCTTTTCAAGTACATCTTGTTTATGAGTTCAATTTAAATAATGACTTGAGATACATAGAATCTAAATTTCTTTTCCTGTTTTATGGACATTTGCTGCCCTGGTATTCATTTAAGGTTTCATAATCTATCCAGATTCCAGTACCTTGCTCCAGGAGATAATTTCTTTTCTTGTTATTTACTGTGCAGTGCCCCCTATCTTTTTTTTTATCCTTCTTGCTTACCCTTTCTTTTCAGTTACTCCTTTCTTGTAGTCTTTAAAATGCCTGAATGCTGAGCCCTGACTTAGTTTCTGCAATTTTGCAGAGTTGGATCCTTCCACTGGTGTGGCATGCTAGTATTATGAGGCTCTGTGCAGGAACAACCTGTAGAAACAAGAAGTAAAAATCACTCTGGGTTTGAAGTGAAATTCCAGGTTAATTCTATCCTCTGGACATCTGTTTGACTCAGTGGCTGTCTTATGTGTCTTAAAGTTAGCTTTAGGAATCCCATTTATGGACCATACTGGGAAACAGTGAACAAAAACACAGACACTGATTCAAGGAGCTGACTATATACACACCTCTGTGTGTACATATTATGTATGAAACAAGGTAACAAATAACTAAAAAAAAAAAAAAAGAAAAAGAGTAATGCAAAAGAAGATGCAATATTTGGGCAATTGCTAGCAGGCTGTTTTCAGGTTTCTTGCAGACAGAGCATATTCGTTTTAATAAAACATTTAGACCTGGATCTCCATTTGAAAAATGGGAGGTCGGTATGGAGAAAATTGGGACAATGGTTTAGAATTTAATTTTATCCTGTTGGATGCTGGACAGGACAGAGAAGAGGCAGAAGATGACCTTTTCATATGGAGCCTAAAGAGATGTGGAAGAGCAGTCGCTGCTGAGTATTCTCAGCTGCCTCCAGATGAAACAGAGGGAGGTAGTTAGGGAAGCAGATGAGGGTATGTCGTGGTTTTAAAGCAGTAACTAAAAAATTGCTTATTTCTTGCTGTGAGATATGGATTAGAACAAGAGCAAAACAGGCTTAAAACTTAAAAGGAATAAAGAAAGTTTATTAACAAAACTACAAGAATAAAAAAAGCACCAGAATAAACTTCCAAAATACTCTTTTATCCCCCACTACCTGACCATTCTTTTGTACACGTGACAACATAGAGACAGAAAAACTTTAGAACTTTGGTGGTTAAAACAGTCCCAATTCTTACTACAGTCTTTTCATCAGTCTTTGTAGAGAAACAGAAGTCTCCTTCTGCTAATCTATGGAGTTTTTTTACAAGAAAACTATTTCTGTTATAGTTTCTATTTTCCTGATGCCAGCTGCCTGGAAATTTTGTCATTAGAGTTCACTCCTCCCATTTTACATCACTCTGAGGTGTGTATGGGCCATGAGTCTAGGGATGGCATTTTAAGGATAAGTTATTCAAAGGCAAAAGTTCTCTTCATCTGTCTCTGTGAGCTTTTCTGGAAACAGTTTTCTCATTGCCCTCAAGGCTTCAAATCTTCGCTTCACCCTGTTCCAGCACTTCACTGTATCACAATTACTCTCTATTTTGCTCAAAATCCACACTTCAAACACTCCATTCCTCCCTATATACTCTGTCATGAATTAAAGGAGTTTTTTTTCAAGACCCTATTGTCCATCTCCATAGCTGTAACAGAAATATATTTCAGCTTATAAAGCATGTCTTTATTCTCTACCTTTTCTGAAGCTTCTTTTCTTTACTGTCTCTGATAGCTTATAAAGTCTCTTTACATGTTTCTTTTTCTCTTTCTGGATAAAAGGATTAATCTGCAAGTCTCATCTAGGTAATGAAAAGGTTAAAATCTCGCCCAGGCTTTGTAGATGGTTCTGTGATCTCTGCCCAACAGGAGCTGGAGCCGTCTGCGATGGAAGATTCTTCATAGCTGCTCTGGAGAGTGTGGTCACTGTCTCAGCCTGCCGCAGGTCCAGAGCTTTTTTTCCTTTCTTTACTCAGCAGTCTCTGGTGAATTCAGTCACAGCAAAAACTGCAGCCGAGCCAGGGACCGGCCTGGCCCGGCCAGAGCCCAGGGCAAGCCCCGCAGGCCCCATCTCCCGGCCGGGAGCCGCTGGGCCCAGCCCAGCCCCCGCCCGGGCCTCATGGCCGGGGCAGGGAACGGGAGGCCTGGAGCTCTGTTACCTTTCACAGCCAGGAAACAAAGAGAGCAAGAGTGCTCTGACTTTATGTCTTAAGGAGGTGTTTACAGGTTGATTTCACTTTTTAATGGTCAAAACTGCTGTCAATTCTTAGAAGTGACTGATAATTGGTCAGGAGGAAAGACTCCCATCAGCCATCAGCAGCTTCAACTTCCTTAGCTCCCAAAACCTTTTTAAAGGTAAAGTCACCCCATGACAGGGTATCATTTAGTTTGTTGGTTATTTTTATTTGAGCTAGAGCCAGAATTATACTTGTATCAATGAAAAGGCAGAGAGAAGTGAATTTTTAAGGAAGAGAGTGAGAGGGAATAAATGAAGAGGTGGAACAGGGCTACAGGGAGCATTGAAAGAATAAGGAGAAGAAAGTTCTTTTGCAACTCATTTATGTTTATGAACATGCCCAAAAATGCTGCAAAAATGCTTTGGAGGAACAGTTTAGAGAGTGGCAGCTTCTCTTTCATGAACACTGAAAAATTTCTGTCTAATCAGTTAAAGGATTTTTTTCATTTCTAAAAGCTTTGCAATACATTTTACACGCCTGAAGTACAAAATTGTCCAATATGTCATTTATCATTTGTACAAGCCATTTTGTGAGCTCACTTTTATCACAATATGTAATAACTGTCCACAGGGTACTAGTCAAGAGCAAAGGTGTGGTCAAACTCAGGTGCAAAATGTTTTTCTATTTATATTTTATTTATATTTATATATTTATATTCTATTTACATTCTATTATATTTCCAAATTTATATTGAAATCTCCCTTAAATAATGCAAAAAACAATAAAATGTGCTGGTTGTAACAAAAGCAATGAAACCTCCTGTTGTTTCCCCACCACAAAAGTGACTGTTGATTTTACCATGAGGTTCAGCAGAGAAATGTCTCCCTGCTGCCAGCAGTTCCCTTTCTTAGTGCTGCTGGACAAGTCACTTGGCACCCAGCAAGGCCTTGCTGCCTTTGAGGTCCGTCCCTGACCTTTTGCCTCTAGACTGAGCTGTCTGTGTCTGTCTCCTTTAGCCTTTCATCTGGGTGGTGTGGGATTTTTGAGAAAAACATGGCTAGCTTGATTTGAAAATTAGCAGAGCAACCTTTCCTCCCCTGCTCCTTCTTGTCTGTAATTAAGTAATAACAGACGATGAGCAGGGTGGTTCACCTGATGCTGAGCCTTGGAGCAAGACTTCTGGGATCTCAGTGCCAAGACACATCTGGCAGCTGTGATAGGAGAGAGTTGGACTTCCTGTTCTGTGGTAGAGACAATGAAAGCAGAAGAGAAATGAAGGGATACTTTTGTGGAATATAGAACACAGCTCTATCTGGACTGAAAATTTGGAATCAAGAGAATATACTTTGTGCAAGTTAATATATTTTCCACGAGCTCTGAAACTTCACAGGTGTACTTTAAAATGGGTCAATAGCACTTTTCTTGTTGTTCTTTCAGTTAATCTTAATGAATTTGTAAGTGCTAAGTTAAATATGTCCCTGTAAATGTGCAAGCACACTGACAGGCAGATCTTTAGTTCAGAGCTCCTTTACCTGTGCTTGATTGGGTGGTACCTGGGATGGTGCTGCATTGATTTTGAGGAGATGGGGAACTGGTGTTAACCTTTCCTGGGGGAAGGAAACAGCTGTGCAGCTGTTTATATCCTTCCCCCCGTGGCCTGTAAATAAGAGTAAGCTGTGCTGTATAAGTTACAGCACTAATCAGCATCCTGAGGTATTTGAAGGCTTCTGGCTCCTGGACAGCCATAAAATCCTTTGGATGATTTCTGGGGTTGTAGGTGAGAAGCAGCGTCTGTCAACAGCTCCCTTGGATCTCCTTCAAATTGCAGTATCATGCAACATGAATTGAAGGCCTAAATAATTTGGATAAATGATTGATAGGAGATTTTACTTTTTAATCCATTAAGTACTCTTCCATAAAAAAGATTTTTGGATGTAGATGAAAGTTTAATGTAAACATATGTTTTGTGCTTTTGTTTAAAAAGCTCCATACTTGCACTCTTTGCATTGGCATCAAGTGACTTATTCTGCTGCTGTTGAGTCACTTCAGTGCAGGAAACCTTTTGATTTCTGTCTATTTAGACCAGCAGGAAACTACAATCATTGAAGACCTTCCCCTTCTGACGGAATAGTGTTTATAAACCCACAAGAAGTTTGGAACAGTAGGTTCCAAAGAAGTTTGGAACAAGCTTCTGCAGAAAGTGACTAGAATGTACATTGCAAAGAGGAGCTGTGATTGCTGGTAGGAAGGAGTATCACTGATTGTGGGGTTTAGGAGAGCTGAGCAGAGTTGTGCTCAGAAGTGTGCTGTCCTAGGAGCCTCTGAGCCAGCTTCTTGTTGGGGCTTGGATAGCAGTGTGTGTCTGAGGAGGGGCTTTGACTCTGAACACACTTTGCAGAGGTATTTTCACCAGTTCTTTTTGCCCTGCTTCCTTTCCCATGTGCATACATGCAATCTCTCGAGTGGTTTAAGCAAAGTTTTGCTGTTCTGCAGGTGGCAATAAACAGTATGAAAGCAATTCCCATAAGGCACATTGTTCGGGCTCTTTTATGATGTATGGCAGATTCTATGAAACATTTTACTTTCAGGAATTGATTGATGCTTTAAAAACAATCTTCTAGTAAAACACCATGCCTGAAATAAACTTGTCACTGCATTCATTTTAATTATTTTTCACACACTGTGTGAAATACTTCGGTTCATGGGGTAAAAAGCCCCTGAAATTAGGGAAATTTGGTTTGCTAATTTGAAAAAACACATGGAGGTATCAGACAGTGTTGACAATTCATGACCTGGATTATCCTGAGTAAGATAGCATTTTTAGCTATTTAGGCTTTCAGTTTTCAAATTCCTGAATTATGTAGGTGCAGTAACTTGAAAAACAAGATAGTTTGCCTGCTAAGGTATGTTTCCTGTTTCCACTGACATGGTTTGTCAAATTTTATTCATTGAGTACTTCATACATATTTTATCTTATTTCAGAATTTTCTTCTTTACAGTCTACCCTACCACTATCAAGGTGCACACAGCATGGGACATTGTGCTGTTATTAGTCGTGTGGAGTGGTGTACAGTACCATTTACCCTATTTTTTGTGGTTATGTCACTGTTTTCTAATGTTATTTCTCAGTTAAGATGCACCAGTCATTTTCATTAGTTCCCATTCTATATCTTTTTGCATTCCCTTTTAAATTATAAATACATGTTTATGCCGGCTCCTTTCTTGCTGTTAATTTGTAGAATCATCCTCTATAAAAATGCAAAGCATGCTGCTGCTGATGGTTAGTTTCCAAGCTCGTTGGTAGGGTGGTTGTGCTTGTCAAGGGAGTGAAATGTGGAAGTGCTGACAAGTGGCTGATGGCTGATTCTTGGCCCCAAGCGCAGGATTGCGATATGAAAGATTATTATTATCTGTCACACAGCAAGAGCCGTTATTTCCTAACTTCGGCGCCGACTTTATTTAGAAACAGAAGTGGAGGCTGGGTGAGTTCCTCGTGGTGAGAAGCAGCTCCCTGCAGATGCCCAAATTAGCTGGGAATGATTGCAGGGCTGTAGTGCCACTGGCATGGTCCTCTGGGCTGCACGCTCTGGTGAAGGCCCTCACGACTTCAGCTCTTACTGCAGCATCTTCTGTGGCTGCGTATTTGTAAATCAGTCACTCTATTCCACAGACTTCCAGAGAGCACTGGTACCTCTGTGACAGCCAAGGATATATCTGCTTTCCCCCAAGAAATACTTGGCTGCTCCAGAATCTGTTTCTAATATTGTATCTAGGGACCAGGTTTTACCAGGTCTCTACCCAGAGAGAGCTCAGCCTAGCACAGAAAATATGCTACTATGGAAATTCACAGATTATTACCACACAATTCTGACTTTCCTTGAACTCTAATCATCATAATACTGTTACTTAAAACACAAGTTGTTATTGTCTTTTCTCAGTATATTATGCTAATATTTTTATTAATGATGTGTCCAAGCCTGATGCCATTGTTAAAACCTCCTTAAAAATTTCAGGCATTTACTTTGTATTTCCAAGCTGGTTGTCTTGTCCTGTACTAACGTGTTTAATTACTGTACATTTAGTACCAGCTGTACCTTGTGCTGGCTTCTGTTAGACTCCTGCTAGATTCCAGATGTCCCTGATGTATAGAGTCTGGTATCCAGCTCTGCAAAGAGCAAAGCTGCAAGATGCAGTGTCAGCCATTTTTGCTTCATTTTGCAACTGCAATCATAAGACACCGTGCTTTTCAGACACAGGAATTCTTTGTTAGACTATTGACTCAGCATAGTGTTACCCTAAATTACAAAGGTCACAGTTACTTCTGGGAATTCATAAAAGGTCAGGAAGTCTTCAGGAAATTATTTCAATAAAAAAGGTCCAGTGACCTTAGGAAAACCAAAAGATTCAGTCACATATGTGGCAGTTACGGAGCAAACAGAGTAGTGGAAAACAAAAGTAACAAATACTGAGGTGTTAGCCTGAGGCTGTAGTTTCATGAAGATGTAAAACTTGCATTGCCACGAAAAAAAGAGCCATTTTTCATTTTTTTATTCTTCCTATGTTCTGGTACAAACATTTGGCTACATAGTGGGCCAGATGAGGAAAATGTTCAAGGTTAGCATTAAACTAGCAAGAGAAAAGCTTGTTTTTAATAGCAGGTCTGTTCCTTGCCTACCTCCTCATACTGCTTCAGAAGCACTTGATCTGACAGGATGGCAAGGAGTGTTGCAGGACCTGCAGGAGCTGAGGGATCAGCAGCACTGCCTTTTATTTGGTTGCAGGTGAAAATAGTTCCAAAAGTTCTATGAGAGAGTGATGGTTAGTCAAACTTTTTTAAAGCTGGTCATAGTCATTCAGTAAACCACTAAAGAAAATTGCTGTCTTGTTAGTTTCCTCGTGAGTGTTGCTCTTCACTTTTCTCATGTGCTGGGAAGGTACAAGCATTGGTCATTGTCCAGAAAAACCATCACTGCAGTTGCATACAGAACTCTTCTTATGCAGACACCTTCTTGCCTGCCAGTTCTACATCTTGTAACCACAGAACAGTTTTGGAGATGGATTTCATTACTGACACAAGTGACTTGAGCCAGAGGCCCATTTATTCAGAGTTTTTAAATTTGAGGAAGTAACTTAATGGAAAGGACAAGAGGAACTTAATAGTTATTTTTAGGAAAAGATAGTGTTTATCCCAGCAAAACTAAAAATGTTGTTGAGACATTACAAACTTGAAACCTAGACAGCTGTGGTTTTGTTCTTCCATAATTATTTTAATGTGAAGAAATTCCTCTTAATGCATACTCTATAGCCCTGTCAGCTTCAGTAGTCTACCACATACATTTTTATATCTATGCAAATTGGTATTTTCCTATGTGGTGTATGAAAAAAAACCTCAAAAAAGCTGGAAACCAATAATGTCAGAAAAATAGTAAACCTGATAATCTGCTTTCAAATGCACAAAGAACATTTTGAACACTTTCACAAATAAAAGTGATATTATTGAACAAATGCATCAGCATGAGACCTGACAATAGTTTTGTAGCAGACTGTATGATTCAGAAAGAGAAAACAGTGAAGAGTGTACAGATGCCATTTAAAAGGCTACTAAGTTGGTAAGGTATGAAACCAGCCTGCTTGCCTTGCCTGGCATCTGGAAAGTGTGGAAATGTGCTATCTAAGGAAAAAAGACCAAAAAATGAAAGGGATAGTAAGCTGGAAGGAATTGCTGGGTTCAGCATGGAGAGCTCTAGTACTCTGGTTAACTCGATGCTAAGGAATCTTAGGCCGAGTTCTGGTGCAAGTTTTGGGTGGTGGCCAAGTGCTTTGACCTGGGAATTGAAGTAGTTTGTGTAATACTGCTGTGGAGGGAGAAAAGACAAAGATTAAGGAAAGTTTTGGTGGCAGGGTCAGTAGGGGATCTTGCGTGCAGTTGCATCCATGGATAGAATTAAGAGTTGTGCAGCTGGATTCCAGGAGTTTGTTAATTTGGCAGGAAGTTTCATCCTTGCACAAATCAGAACTGACACGAAGTCATCCCTACTCAGAGCGCGTTGTCAGAAGTGGAAGTGGTTGTGGCCCTAGAGGCAGAGCAAAGGGTATTGAGGTGAAGAGTCAGGCAAGTATGACATGCCCAGATGTATCATGGAGTGGGGAAATCTGGGTTAGCTACTGGATGAGGGACTTGCAGCAAACAAAGCAGCAGGGGTTTTTGACGTGAAGTTCTGTACAGCTTAGGGGTTGGGATTTGGTACAGTGTATTAAGACTGGGATCCTTCTGTACAGAAGCCTTTCAGTGTCTAATTTAAAATCCAGGAAAACTAGCAAAAAGCTGAAAATACAAGATAAGTAAATATCACCAGAAAGGTGATTGGAATAGGAGACAGAATGTTTGTTCATCGCTTGCTATTTTGAGAATTATGGAAATTAAAAGGCAGACAAACTTTTATTATAAAAGACTGCAAACCCAACCAGCACATGTTCTGCAGTCAGGTTGCAGGAAGCTCTGTGCCAAAAACTGGGCAAACAAGTGTGAACTGACCACTTCCAGAAAGAGGCAGAGTAGTTAAAATCCAGCACATGAGTTTGTTTGAACTATGTCTGTGCTGTGTTTTGGGGCTTCCCCACCGTTTCTGTTGTGAAATTCAATGCTTGATGCAAGAGTGGCACACTGCTCAAGTGGTTATTTGAAGTTAATGTTTAGAAACATAATGCAAACTGCATTATCTTTGGGACCAAAAAATATTTATTGTGGAACTGGACCACTTTCTGGTAGTCTGCAGTGTAAAGGAGACAGATCTTTAGTAGCTATTTCATTAGGTAAGGTATTAAAGATTGTATTAGATTTTCAGCTTTTCAGTGTAAACACTGGACCTAACAGAGAAACTACTACCATACTGAAGGCTGTTTTCAATAAGGAGACAACTGAATAGTGTACAATATATAAAACTATGAGGACTTAATTTTCTTCCTTACTCTTCTTGTTTTTCAAATCCAAAAATGTAGTGTGGGAGTCAGAACTTCTTTTGAAATAAAAATTTAATTAAGTCCTTGAAGAGGAAAAGACAAATTTGTCATAGATTCTTCATAAATGCCATGTATTATCATGAAAACATAATTGTTAAGGTCCTGTAGGAAACCTATTATAAACTTCATTTCACAATATGAAGGCTCTGATGTCGTTTTCTGAATACACAAATACTAGTTTGCATATGAGAGAAGAGTCCTTGAAATCATAATAGCAAAGACACTCTTGTCCTGTGCCATTCTAGAGGCCTTTGCTACTAGGAGTTTTATTTTCATTTCCTAATGGAACAAATATTTTTTTAAGAGCATCTGTTAATTTGCCCTATTCCCCTTGATTTTTCTGAGCCCTCTGCATGACACCAGCTAGAGTTGGCAAAAGAGTAGAGGTCTTTAATACATTTATAGGAACATAATATTCTTTTAAATTGAAAGCTGAATAGGGGAATTAGTGCTTTTAACTGAATGCAAACCTCAGTTCTGAGAGGCAACAGGCAGTGGCCAAGGCACAGGGGTGTGCTGGCCAGTCAGTCAGTACCTGCGCTGCTCTGAAGCAGTCGCAGCTGTGCAGGTGTAGGATACAAGTGGAAGCTGGGGCAAGATGTGGTGGGAGTGGAGGTGATTAGAAGGCACTGTGTACAAATCCATGGTTCTCCAAGCTTCATTAATTCTGCTGCTCATGGAAGATTTATTAGGTGCCTTTGGATGCCATGTTCTTCGTACAAAGATGAAATAATTTAGTAACATGGAGGTCTACATAGAAGTTTCACATATTTCTAGGCAGACAAAACAATTCTTATTTTCACTCACCTTGTGTCATCTTTGTCAAAATAAAATGAGGAAGTTTACCTTCCTGATTTCTCTTTGAGGATAAAAATAAACATTAGTTCTGGAGTATTTTTATTACAACGATGAAGGTTTCATTTCACCTTGTATTTCAGCTACCGTAGTGGAAGTCTTACCAGTTAAGAAGAAAGAGACGAATGAAAAGTGCTAAAGAAAGGCTGTCTGCAGCTCCCTAGTGAAATGCCAATTCTCATAGTTACAGTTCTAGTACTTGCTTTCTTATCCCAGTGGTATTTGCTGCAGATAAGATCCTAAGGGAGTTTGGCTCAGCCTGGCAAGCTGAAGGATGGGTTATACTCACACGTGGTTTGTAAACAAGGAAAGGCATCAAATACATGAAATTGGATTTCTGTGGTTTTGCTGACAGCTCCCACCTGGTTGCAGTAATAAACTCTGCTCTTGGCATCTTTACCTGTCACAGGCTGACTCAGAGGAAGGAGAATGCCTTGGAGAAGCTTGGTAAGCTTGGTTGGATTTTAGCAATCAAGTTGTAGACTGGGAAGATTAATGACAGAGAAATAATATAGTCTTGGGTCATAAGAATTTTAAAGAATAGCCTTAAAATAGGGTAACAGCATAGCTCATAGGTTGGAAGTCACCTTTGGAAATAGTCTGGGTCAGCCTTCTGCTCAAGCAGGGACAGCTAGAGCCAATTGTCCAGGATCATGTTCAGTTGGATTTTGAATATCTATATGGACAGAGACTCTACAACCTCTCTGGACAACCTGCACCAGTGTTTGATCACCCATACAGTAGGAAAACCTAAACAACAACAGAAAGTTAGGAAAAATGTTGGCTATATTCCATTAACCAGAGATCCTGATCCAGTCCTAGTCCATCAAAATCACTACTTTCCTACTTTTCTAGCTGCTGACCAAATAGAAAGCTACTGTACAGACAGGGGTTTGTAGTCTTGAATGCTCAGGGCACAAGTTGTAAGCTATTGAAGCAGATTGAACTCTCACTGTGTCCCAGGCTAGTATCTTGAAATGTTAACTTACTACTCTATATTTACTGAAAATGTCATTGTGCCTGGAAAAAAGAGGACAGGATAAGAGGATATCAGGAAGGGCTGAGGGGAATGTGTTGTGGACGGGGTGACAGCACAGGTGAAAAGGTTACCAGGAGTAAATGTTGCTCATAGTGTCTATTAGCTGTGCCAGAAGAGTCAAAGGTCCAAGCTGTGTTGTTATATCGCAGTGTAGAGCACTGCTGCAATGTGTTTTCCTCTCTTGCTCTCCTATTAGAGGAGCATCTCAAGCACAGATGGCTCAGGTAATTGTCCTGGGCTGGCCTCAGGAATGCATCGCATCCTTTAACTGGTAACTTCAACCACAGAAGCTTTTAGAGTTTCATGTGTATTTCTTTTAACACCACACAGCTCCATGCTGGACAGCGCTGAAACAATTTAATTTTCAGTTGTCTGTCTTGAAAAATTTACTTGGGTGATTGTGCTATCAGTACTTTATTTCTCACTTTCATAGCACAGTACTCATTTAAAATAGAGGATACATTTATGTAGACCAAAGAATAAAGTTATCTGAATATGTACAGCATAACTAAGAGGTAAATCCAGCCCTGGAAATAAGGACAGGTGACATGAATAGAGGAAAAAAACCTAATGTATTCAAAATTGGAAGATAACAGTGAAGCCTTTCATAAAGAGGCTGTTCCTGTATCATTTGAAATCAGCAGAGAATCAGTCAGACGAAAGAAGGCAGATGATAAATGATTCATTTGCTTTCCTCCTCCTTGAGATTCCTTTCTTTGCCAGCTTGCGTTAACAGATGTCTTAAAGATTATGAATTCACAGGAAAATAATACAAGACAATGGGCAGCCAAGACAGTATTCCAATAGTCTAAATATTTTGTTCTTCATATTTTATCAGCTTTTGAATCTCAAAATCTAGAAGAGCTCTTGTATTAAGGAAGGACTTTGCTCACAAACACTTTGGTTCAATGAAGCTTTCGATGAGAAGTGGTTCTTCTGTACTTGAACTATAATCTCTTTTTTTTTTTCATTGTGATCCAGCCTTTCGTTACAAGCAAGTCAGCTGGGCCTGAGGAAACATGAAGAGTGATTTTCTGTTGGGCTATACATCAAATAAAGTCTCTTTTGCAGAACTTTGTGATCATTGGTGAGAATGAATTTTAAAGAACACTTGTCTTCTTTAATGGTATGAAATCTTTCAAGGTCAATTCAGTGCAGTCTGTTTTCAGCTTCAGTAGGGGACCATTTCTCTGCAGTCACTATTCACTAGGTGGGATTCTTGCCTTAATATGCTAATTGCTTTAGGGATCGGGAAGTTCCACCACCCAGGTCTGCAGTGAAGACGCCAAAGAATACCTTAAGAATACTGACACTTGTTGTAACAAAACTTTTGCAGCCCAAAACAACAGTGTATTCTTTGTGGGTTTCTACATTGAAGACACACTACATTTAAAGAAACAGAAACAGAATAAGATGTGAAGTAATTATTCTGACTCAAAAGGGGTTATTGATATATTCCCTCTTTAATAAATCAGCTAGATACATGGGTGAATATTTTATCATTTATGCGTATCTCTGTGCTAACTGGAGTGAAAACTGAAGGACTGAGGGCTCTGAAGTGGCTGCCAATACTGTGCACTGTAAAAGTACCAAGGGGCCGTGTTTGCAGAGTCATTCTGTGCTTGTCTGCAAGCAGATGTGTCGCCATGAAGTGCAAAGTTCTGTACTGCAGTGTTGGTCTGCAGTTAGATGGACTCTCTGTCTCTGTCTTGCTCTGTTTCCACAGACAAATTTGGCTTTGTTCACTAAGTTATGTGGAGTTCAGAGGTCTTTTACATGCATACGCATCCATTACAAATTGATTTACAAGAACATGTTTGCACTCAGAGTGAAGGCCAAATGGTCATCAGATTTGCTGCCATTCCAGCTCCGGGTTAAACTTCATCTGTTGGAAAAGGATATGAAACAGCACTCTGTTTGCTTTAGCCTGTTGCTACAGAGTCATCATCCTACCTTAGTGCACTCTTTTTTTAAGTATAAATGCTTTCTTTGCTTTACAAAAGGTTATTTAAATTGCAGTTTTAGTGCAGGCATCATCTCTCTTACCGCGTTGTAAGATACTGAACATCTGTGAACACCACAAAATAATAAAAGAGTGGTCTAAGAGCACTTTTTACTCCAAGAAAAAAGGGGTGGGGGGGAAAAGTTAAGTAATAAATTACTTAAAGGACTATTTAGGTAAATCAAAAAGTATGAATCATCTTGGATGCAACTAAGTTATCAGATATTTTCCTTGCTTCATCATCTGTCTTCAAAGGGAAAAGATAGTGAATTACGCAAACCCTTAAAAATATTTATATCAATCTTTCATTGCAACATAAAGATATCAAGTATCTTTTGTGAGGTGCTTGATTTGAAATTTTGTCTGAGATATGTATTCATAGAGTTGCTTTTGTTATTTTTTCCTCTTAGGTGTTGCTAGATTCTTAAATAAAGTTTTCTATATTACTGGATTTCCTTGCTTGCTGGATTTCAATAATGTAAGCAGCACACTCTTTATGAGAACAGCCAGCATTCATATTAGTTCCCAGGTGCTGGCTTTTGTGAAGATGTTTAGACTGATATTAGTAGATGACTTAATATTTACAGATGACTGTATGGATGGTGTAGCTCATTGTAGCTCTGTAAGCAAACATGCTGCTGCTATTCACAACATACAAAATAATTCTAGTCCTGGGGACAAATATGAGCATTAGCCTGGAAGTGGAAGTTGTCTGTGGCAGCAGCTCTGCTGTGGGAATGCAGATGAATGCAAGGCATGACCAGGAAAATACCTGGCTGGGAAAAATCGGTTGAAATTCCTTGATCATTCAAGGGCTGCATACTTCACCTGTTCCCCTTCTCCAAACAGCACTGCAGATTAATCAGAAAAAGCTGATTAATCTTTGATATTTTTAAAGCAAGATTTTAGTGGATATTTGTACTCAAAGTAGCAACGAACAGGACATGATAAAGGGCTGTAACAAGTGTTGATCCTGAAGTACTGTGGGAGTCATTGACTGATGTCTTACCTGTCAACGTGTCAAATTTCAATTGCTTTTCTGGTCAGGGGCTTTTCTGTTTCCTTTTATGTCAAAGAAGCATCCTTGAGTAAGGCTGTTTCTAGTATTTCAACATCTGAAGAGGGCTGTAGTGACACCAGGGCATGTGCTTGGGCCTCTAGACAAGAGTGAACACTATACTGAGACATGGCAGTGCTTCCAGTGACTAATGGAGCAATTTGAAAGTTTGACTATTGCATTTTGTGTAATAAACATGAAAGTCTTTAAAGCCATAAATGATCAGTGGGCTGAGATTGCAGCAAGGTTTTTAGAAAAGCCCATGTGTGCCTAGTGCCTAAAAAGCATTTTAAAATGTTCTTTCAAACTGATGGAATGGAATTGTAGGCTGATTATGCATATCTGTGACCATACACACAGCTGGAAAATATACCTATCACTGTTGTTATCCTACTGTCTTAATCTCTGTTTTATATTTAATAATATTAATACAGAACAGGAAATATGTTACTGGAAAAGTATGTAGTAGTTGTAAATCTTGTGGGTAATAAAGCACTAGGAGTATATTTCAAAAAACTGTGCACATTTATTTTTCATACCTAAATAGTGGTTGCTTTTAGTTGTGGAGAAGAAGATACAGAAGAATGTTTTCTTGTACTGACATTTTTAAGCATTGTGATTGATACATGTACGGCTCGAACTCACTCCCATCATTTTCTGCCCTTATAAATAGAGTGTATCTGCAAAACACATCCAAATGTCTTTGTTCTAAATTGGTTTATTTCATTATTATAAAGAGAAAAATGCATCCCTGCAGGATTTAAGGGGCTTTTTTTTTCATGCAGGAAAACAGGACAGTTAAGGAAGCAATGAGAAAAGAACTGGTCAAGCAGGGTGTTGTATAGTTGTGAAAAACTGAGTTGAGCATGTTGGACCAGTATCTTTTCTTGAGGTTGTGAGATGCTCCATGGTTTTGGTTTTCAATTTATGCTGGATTGATGTTGTTGGTTTAGCTTTAATGATTGCAGTCAAGGAAATCCCTTACACTCAGGGCTATAAACCTCTGAATGTGCTTAGGAGCAGAGGATTTTGAGGTAAAAAGCCTGCTTTCTATGACAACTAAAGCTACAAGGCAATGGTGACAGAACTGAATGTTATACCTTTTGGCACTTTTGATTAAACAACCTCTTGATAAATTACAGCTTTTTGAATGTGTTAAAATCTTTTGAAAAAAGTAAATGGAAGAAGACCAAAAGAATATGATTTGTTCGTGGTATCTTTTGAAAATGATACTATATTAAAAAACTAAGTTGCTGGCAGCCTTCTTCTGAGCCATCACTCTTAATATTTCATTAGTTTAGTAAAAATGAATGCTTAAAAATGCCACAGAGACTGGTTTAACTGATGAGAACAACTAAAAATATATGGAAAAATTTCTGTGGCATTCAGAGTTTCTCATGATCAAAAAACTAAAGATGCTGCAGAGCTGGATAGATGCAGGTATTGTAAAACTGCCTCTTTTTCTCCATCCTTGCCTGAGGTGACTTTTTCTCCCCCTACATAATATATATAGGCTGACTTGCCAAAACAGCCTTTTGTTTCTTTTTTTTGCCATTTGTTGCTCAGTTTTGGAGGATAATGATACACATCTGATCTGCTGGATACAGAAATATTCATCCTCCACTTGTGGAGGGAACTATCCAGTGTGGATCCTGTGCCAATGTTAATTTTTGAAATTGTGGGACAAAGAATGTTAATTTTCACTTCCATTACCAAGATGCCTTTCAGAAAACCTATCTTCTGCTCAGCCATCACAGAGCTAATGGTGCCTGGGGTGGTGGAGGGCTAGCATCAGTTAGAATAATTGATCTATTTCAATTTATCATATTTGCTTATTGCTGTTCTGGAGATGTATTCCTGTGTTCTTGTGCAACCCTCAAATACTAAAGCAAAGCATAACATGCCCTTTAAGATGGCAGGCTATTTTGGATTATAGCATTTTCATGATGGTAACTGAGAAATAATAACAAACCTTAACATGAGGAGTTCAGTTGAGGGCTCCTCCTGGGGCTTTTTCCTCTTAGCAGAGCTGAAGGACAGGTAGTTGTATAACCCTGCACGCTGAGCTGGAGCGTGTCAGCAGCCCAGTGAGGAGTCCTGCCAAAGCTCTGTTCTCCACAAGGTTTTGAAATGTCATGGCCTAATTGCCATGGGAGACACATGCCTGAGTGCTCCTGCCCAAGGTATGTGTTGCAGAGTGAGACCCATAGCCCCAGACTGGGTGAGTCATTTCCCGTTTACCAGGGCACCCCTTAGCTTCCTAGTGCTAGCTTTCTAGAATTTAGGATTTGTGTGGGCTTCTGTTTCAAGGCAAATTTAATGCAGTTTCCTAGGCTTTAGGAGCACTGCTGAACTGGAAAGTAAAGTATCTGTTGTTTGTGGATGTGTTACGAATTTTTGTTTAATTTTGTTGCCTTTAATGGCAAAATGAACAGATGGTACAGATATTCTCGAGGAAAACAAAAATCTAGATTAAAAATCTGACTGATGTCCTAGATGCCAAGTATGAAAAAGAGTTTTGTTTTTTAAGAGTTGTTTATTTATTGCATGTGTTCATTTTGTAATAGCTCTCATGAGTGCAGCTAGCAGAAAACTCATTGCTGTATTTTTTGCATCTTTTCAGCATTTCTTGACACATTTGTTTAATGTATGTTGTTACCTGTTAGAGTGAAAATAAGATGTTGACAGTGGTGGGTTTTTTCCCCTGCTAAGAGAGGCTTATTTGAAACTGATCTAACAGAGGTCAGAGTAAGACCTGCAATATAATGTCATTACAGAGAGATTGAAAATCTGTTGAAAATCATGGATGCTCTGGTATCTTAAAATGAAGTTGCACAGTTGTTAGCAGCCTTTAAGAAATAGTCATACTTTTTAAAGGTGTTTGTAAATTTTACCCTGTAGTTAAGTTGGCCAGAAATCAGCTTCAAGACAACGAGCTGGTATAATATGATATACAAGCTATATATGTGTGTGTGTGTGTGTGTATACAAGCTTATATATAATATATATATATA